CAGATAGGTTGAGATGAAGGCATAACAACCATGTTTTGCATGTGAAAGTCACTGTCACAACATTCCAATGTGCCTGGACACTTCCAGACATATCTTACATTTTAATTCTATGAACTCTTGTCCATATTGATTGAATGCTATTGATAAAATATGTTTTTGTAAACAGAAGGCAATGTATACATGCTTCAAACACAGACACCACAAACACTACAATATAAACAATATAAAGAACTATTGCAATCTGAACCAGTCATAATATAATTTATACAATGAATAGACAATGAAGTGGAAACTTCAAGACAGAAGGAACACTTCTTTCCTTCAGTTGTGCACTACCTTGGGTGTCCTTGGGAGAAAAGCCACAAATGAATGAATAAATGACATTTAGTCTCTAGATTCTTCAAAATATAAAGGAGAAACCAATATTTCAGAAAAGACTTCTTAAGAAAATAAATCTCTGTATTAACCAAAAACAAGAAAATTAATATAGACTTAGAAGATTATTCCCAGAAACATACTGTAGGAAAGATGAAAAACATACTATTTTACTGCACTTTATAGAACCACGAAGAAACAGAATGATGTGATTATGCAGTTAGGACTATGTGAACAAAGCTACTTAGAGCCATATAGGAGTTCAGTCTATAGGAACAGTGGGACCTGTTTCTCAATAGGCAAGTCTAGGATTGTGTTATTACACTGCAACCTAAAGAACACAATAAATGCCACTGGATACAGTACAATTACCTTTTGAGACCATGTGTCATGGTGACAAATATTGCAGGTTTAATTAATGGGAATCTGAAATTCTTCTGATTGATGTTTAAAAGTCATTATTATTAGAACAATATGATTTGTTAAATCATTTTAAATTAATTGCACTTTTTAGATAGAAAAAAAAAACATAATAACTTCAAGAATAAAAACAGTAGATCAATAGCTTTATTTTGTAAAGGAGATGGGAACAGAATCATTACTGAAATAAAAACTCCCAGACAACCAGAAAGACAACTCTGCCTACAGTAACTGTAAAACACTCTGACATCATCAGATTCACTTTATGTTTCATGCCTTTATCACGTGTTAACCTGGCAAACCGAATATAATCCACTAGTCCACAGAGTGCTCGACACCCACTCTGTTTGGATGCACCCAGATAAGCAACAAGAACAAAGAGGGCTTATAAAATCCTAGTGGGCTGTCATATATAGCCAAGGAGGGCTGTGGGGGAGTCATAAATTATGCACACCTGGAATATATAAAAAACTTCATATGTGAGAACTACTGTAATAATCATACACCCTAATATGTGCTTAACCAACATTTCTTTTCATGCAACATATTATCCAAGTATATAGCCCATATACAAAATAAAGTTGCACAGTTGGCAGATTTAAACTTGAGACCTGCACCAAATGCAAAGCTGTATCAGAAAATTGTACACTGCAGGCTTCATAACAGAAGCCAAGTGTAAGAACATTGCAGTTGCACCCAACCTGAGAAGCAACCTTCAGTAACAATGTATTTTAACAATATATATATATACATTTAACGATACACTTTATATCATTACTCAGCCTTCCATCCTTCTAAGGTACAGTGGTACCTTGCTTAACAGCGATAATTTGTTCCAGGAAAATCGCTGTTAAGTGAAAACATCGTAAAGTGAAAATTAAAACCCCATTAAAACGCACTGAAACCCATTCAATGAGTTCCAATGGGGTAAAAATTCACCGTTCAGCGAAGATCCTCCATACGGCAGCCATTTTCGCTGCCTGTATAATGAGGAATCCGTCCCTAAACACAGTGGGGAGCCATTTTAGTTACCCGGTGGCCATTTTGAAACCACCGATTAGCTGTTGAAAAATCATCGTTTTGCGAAGAATCGGTTTCCGAAGCAGGGAACCGATCATCGCAAAGTGAAAAAATCCCATTTAGACCATCGTTTTGTGATTGCAATTGCGATCACAAAAAGATCGTCGTAAAGCGGATTAGTTGTAATGCGGAGCAATCGTAAAGCGAGGCACTACTGTAGGTAAATTGAGTTCACAGCTCACTGCTGGGGGGGGCGGGGGAGATGTGTAACTTGCAGAATTAAATTGTAAACTGCCCAGAGAGTGCTTTGAGATGATATATAAGCAGTACTGTATGTTTTTTGCTTGTTGCTTTATACCAAGTGTATGTGAGACTAGGATTCAGCTTACTAGAGTCTCCTAGTTTCCACACATTTCAGATCAATCACTGTATGCTGGTAAAAAAACTGCAGTCCTGAAGGCCATTTTCTCGCAACTCCAAACATTTCCAGAAAGTGGTCTTGCTGGGATCCGTGCCCAGGAAACTTTTGAAAAAACACAACCTACAAACAGTATTCAAGCCCACCACAAAAATACAACAAATGTTACGGTCAACAAAGGACAGAAGGGACCCCCTCACCACTGCAGGAGTATACCGGATACCTTGCAGTTGTGGCCAGGTATATATTGGAACCACAAAACGAAGCATCCACACCAAAATCAAAGAACATGAGGGACACTGCAGACTAAAACAACCAGAAAAATCTGCAGTAGCTGAACATGCCCTAAAACAAACTGGACATGAAATTCTATTTCAAAATACTGAAGTACTGGACAACACCAGTAATCATTACGTGAGGATACACAGGGAAGCCACTGAAATCCACAAGCACCAGCAGAACTTCAACAAAAAAGAGGAAAGTGTGAAGCTCAACAAAACTTGGCTCCCAGCTCTCAAAAATACAGTATGCAAAAGGTCAACGAACTCTACCCAGCCACAAGGACAGGGGATCACTACACACAAAAGACCAGCTAATAACACCCATAAACCACAGGGACAAATAATCTCTTCTCCCTAGCACAACAATACACCCACAACAAGACACACTAATCACCCATCTACAGAAAAAGACAAAAGCCTATCTCACAGCCATAAATACTGCACTCCCAAGCCAACTACACCAGAGCACAGGTTGCTGTCCTCTGAAGATGCCAGCCACAGAGACTGGTGAGACGTTAGGAAGAACAACCTTCAGCCAAAGAGCCCGAAAAACCCACAACAACCATTAGATACCTATCTATTTATCTGCAACTGTTCTGTCAAATGCATGGCAACACAATGATTACTGCGGAACTTCTTCTATTTCAGGTTTTGAACACTGATAGACACTCTTCATGTGCTTTACCTTTAAATCACATTTACTCATTATAAAAACTTCAGCTTTTACAATATAAAGAAACTTCTCAGGGGAAAACCTTGTCCTCAAAAATGCTAAATCATGCACTTCCTATTCTCTGTAGTACAATACTTTATGATAAGTACTGCATCCCCTCTGGTTCTGAAGGTCATGATTTTAAGTTCTCTAGCACTGCCAACTATTTTGCTTTTCAAACACGTTTCTTCACTAGCAAGATCCCAAGAAGCAATATCATTTGCTAAAAAGCAGAGTTCTTGATTCCTCTATATCTTTTACAAAAGCCATACTATATCATTTTACTGACACATATGCAGACTTCATAGAACAGCCCATTTATAAAAATCTACTACATCTCTTTGAAAACAAAGCTGCTGTCACATACCTGAACCTTTACCTTGGTGCCCTGCAATAAGAAAACATCCTGCTGGCAACAAGCTATTTTTCTCTTGACACATTTTATTAAACATACCGTAGGTCATCCTGTGTACATGTACCTGGGAATAATATTTACTGAATAAGCTTAGCTAAGATTTGAGACAATAATCATGTGCCGTCACTAAAATTAAGATTGGAAACTGGTCGAATTAAAATCGAAGCCAGGATATGGATTGCATTTCTCACATACTGGCTCAGACTGTCTTATCTCCCTATTGGTCTTGCACCATTGATCCTGCAAGACACCTTTAAGTCAAAATGGGTTCAGTTAATTGAGCAAAAAATAGTCTCTTTGGGTCTCTCAACAGGTTGACTCTGTTAACCATGGGAATGGAACAGGCAAAGAAAATCATTAAGCAGCGTATTGAGGACATCGAGAGACAAAATGATTTAAGCAGTGCCCCAGAATTCTGCCTTAGGGAGGACAACATATACAAAGTTACAGCAGCACCTTATTTTGCTCAGTTGGAGCAGCCCAGGCAAAAAAGGGCATTTACTCTGGACCAGCTTAACACACTACCTTCAGCAGTGCAGGAGGGACGGTATAAAAAGATTCCTTGGGTAGAGCACCTTTCCCATGTGGAATGGAGTGAATAGAAACAACTGAACACATCTTGTTGTGGTGTACATATTACAAGGATATACGTGAAGAACTTGTTTCCCCTTTGATCGGCCAATTTCCTGGTTGTACAGAGCACGCACTGCTGTCTGACTCCAATCCCATCCTTACACATAGGGTTGCCAAATTTCTTACTGCTGCAATGGGCATTAGAAAAAGGACCCTAAAAGTGGATGAGCCTCTGTAGTTAGAGCATGGTTTGCTAGACATTCTGGAATTGCTTTAGGGGAGATGTTTTGACGCTGGTATTGTTCACCTCAGAACCGATTATTGCTTTGCATTCAATACCAATATTTTTACATACTTCTGTATATTTATACATTTTGATGTTTTATTTGTGGCTGGTCTTTTGTAATAAAGTTTTATCATTATCACCTGAACCTTTCTATACCTTGGTGCCCTGCAATAAGAAAATATCATGCTGGCAACAAGCTATTTTTCTCTTGACACATTTTATTAAATATACTGTAGGTCATCCTGTGTACATGTACTTGGGAATAATTAAGCTTAGCTAAGATTTGAGACAATAATCATGTGCCATTAAGTCAATTCTGAATTTTCAGTGTTTTCTAGGTAGAGAGTACTCAGAAATGGTTTACCAGCAGCTTGCTTAAGGCCATGCAGACTGGCTTTTCTTTCTTTCTTTCTTTCTTTCTTTCTTTCTTTCTTTCTTTCTTTTTATACCGGTTATGGCCCAGAGCAGACTGGCTTTTCTTTCTTTCTTTCTTTTTGTACCGGTTATGGCCCAGCTATTAAAAATGCAGGTTTGAAATCCCATTCTTGCCATTCCTACGGCATGCAGGGTTCCTCCAAAATCTTCCGTGGACACACGATCGGAAAGTGAACGTGGGAAGCATGAAAGGAGGAAGAGCCACGCTCGCTCCACTTTAAAGCTGGCAAATGAATTTCCCGTTTTCTGGACCCGAGGAAGGAAATGCAGAAGCGAAGCACGACTAGAGGTAGTGAGTTGCTTCTTGCCTGCCTTGGTCCCAGACCGGGAAGAACAAGAGAGTGGATAAGCGTGCTTACATTGCGAAAAACGAAGAACCTCAGCTTCGGGCTATTGATACGGGAAGTGCGGGGTTGAGGGGGGGGGAGAGGAAAGACAAGGAACCACCCAGGCAGACTGACATCCCCCCCCCCCCTCAACAGCGGGCAGCTGAAAAACGAGAACCGGAGTCCATTGCAAGCCCTGCGGCGAGGACGACACAGGCTTAGCTATGGCTTCTCCTGCTACGAGCCGTAGAAGGCAGGCTACACACCCAGAAGGAGGCCGTCCATGTCAAAGATGAGGTGAGTGACGGGTTGGAACGACGTCGGGCGGGAACGCGAAGCAGAGGACGCGGCCATAGCGCGGCAACAGCGACCCCCCGGGCGAAAGGCGAGCAACCCTTCCCAAAGCAAAAACGCCTTCGCCGCGCATGCGGGAGGGGAGTGGGCGCAAAAAGGCCGATTGGCTCTTTCGGAACTTTCCCTACGCATGCGCCCCAGCTGGCTCGGTTCATATTCCGCAAAGGGATAATGAAAGGACGGGGCCGAGGCGGGGGGTATTGTTTGTTGCGCACGCGCACCCGGACTTCTTATTTCTAGTAAAAGAAACGTGGCTGCTTGTCTCTCGTCTTGGCAATTCCACCGCTTTTAAGATTTGGGGCGGGGGGGGGAGAGATTTTGGGGCTTTGCGCAGGTGCGGAAAAGACGTTAGTATTCTGCTCTTACTCGATGGAAAAGGGAGGGTGGCTGCTGTGCAGCTGAAGAAATGTGCATTAAATGCTGGATTGTGGGGAGAGGGTGTGTCCGCTTGGAAACTAAAGGGAGTTGCAGCAGATCCCTATTTAAAAAAAAAAAAGGCAGGCCGAGAACGTGTGAATGCGATGGGTCGTTCCAACGTACTTGTTTTCTTCCTTCCTAGAAAACGGGCTCAAGAATGCCAAGTCCGTCCGGGAAAAGTGGTGAATATTGATGATAAGGAGATGATATCCCGCTAGGAGATATTAAGGCCTAGGCAGGGAGAAGGGTAGGCGAGGTCGACTCCGATCTGTCTCCGAGTCTCAGTACAGGAACGGCTCTTTCAAAGACGCGTGTCTTGCAGCAAAACGCTGGAACCCTCAGAAGGTGCAGCGGCAGCTACCCTGGGACCGAGTTGAACTGCGCCCCGATAAATTCAACTCCCAGGGGCCATTTTAAGTTATTTCTCCAAACTTTGTACACTACTGTACTTCCAACCTGAGCATCCAGTACAGTCTTAACATACAGTACTCGGGAGGGAAAAGCATGAGAGAGAAGACATCTGTTAGGAGATGCAACCGGAACGTATGCAGTATTTGAACAGCGGTTTTTGTGTGCCTTTCCCAGGAAGGGAGGGGTCACCCTGGTTAGGTGCAGACCCCCACTGCTCTAATTGGAAAGAAGGTTCGTGGACTGAAGCAGGACTTACTCCGGGGTTAATTAATATAGGATCTCTGTCATGTTGGTTCCGACTCTCAACATTTTCCTGGTTCTGGGAGGGGAGTCTGAAGACCTTTAGGAAGGCCCCATGGTCCCCAGCGGTGAAGTATCTCAAACTAAGGCTAGAAGACCTCTAAGGATACAATCTGGAACACCAGAAAGTAGGGACGGCTGGATGCAGTGGGATTTGCTGTGGAGTAAACATGCATGTGGTTGTACCCCGGAAAACCACCTGTTTCTTCTGTTTTCCCTCCCATACCTTTCCAGCCAGCTTCTCAGCCCTGGCCTTTGTTTGTTCCTAGTGGCCACTTTTGTATCCAGTGTTTCCTCCTAAGCAACAATTATAAAGCTATAACTTGACTTGTTCTGTAAACATATTGAGGTACTTAAGTTCACAGTTTGTGTGTTGTGGGGGGGTGACTACAGCAATCCTAAGGAATTATCAGCATGCCATATTTAGTGGGAATTGTTTCTGACTAGAGGTTGCCTCAAGTCTGTTTAATGAGACCTAAATCCCACTCATTTCAATGGGACTGACTCCCAAGTAAGTGCTCATAGCAGTGCAGCATTTGGATTAGGTGGTTTTGCATGTCACAAGGATAGGCAACTACAAATATAAATAAAGATGAACATCATAGTCTAGAAGAGGCCAAGGCTTCAGAATAAACCCTGAAAAGTAGCTGTTGGCAGATAGGATTGGATGCCAGTGAGTTTTAATGTAGCAGCCTTTAACTATGAGGTACTGATTGGTGTAATCTTGTTAAGTGCTTTTAGTTTAAAGTCAGAGAGGAAAAGAATTACCCTCTCTCTCTCTCTCTCTCTCACACACACACACACACAAAGAGAGAGAGAGAGAGAGAGAGAGAGAGAGAGAGAGAGAGAGAGAGAGAGAGAGAGAGAGAGAGAGAGAGAGAGAGAGAGAGAGAGGAAGGAAGGAAGGTGCTAATAATATGCTAAGATGAGTTATCTTTATTAAATAAGAAAGTGAGAGATAAAAATATAATTAGCAATACACAGATAAGAAACCAATGGCATATGCATTCTCTGCATCTGAGAGATACAGGCCAACCTTTTAACAGTGGTTTGCATTATTTTGTATTAAAAATGACAGCTCAGTTCTGTATGTCCTTTTGTTGTCCCTTCTTAACAGAAAATAACTGGGATAAATAGAGAATGTGTAGAATAACTTTGAGAGGTTGTCAGATTGGATTGTGGTCATTAACTTTAATCATTCTATTCTTATGGCTTGCTTCTTTCAGCAAGAAATGTTTTCAAATGTTTCTGTTGTCCTCTCAAAGAATTACACATTAAAAACTAATTCTTTTAACTCCTGCCAGTCATTGCTTTGACTAGGGTTTTACTTGTCACAAATAATAGATGAGATTAAATTGGTCTCCCCTGGTTCCAACTGACAAGGTTGCCTGAGTGAGACTGTTTTCACAGAAGGGGTTAGATAATTAAATTAATGGGACTTCACAGTGTGTTTAGTACTAGTTATTTTCCCAGAGGACAGCTAAATTAAAAGAGGTGACTCTCAGGTGGTGGAAACTAACTGCCTAACAAAGGAACCCCAACCTTGAAGATTGATTTTTCAATAGATATATTTTTTACTCCTCTGTGCCCAAACAAAATACTGTCACTTAATTTTTACTGGAACAATGGATGAAAGTAGCTAATGCAATACTGATACACTAAACCTTTCATTGATATATAATGAGGCATGACCTGTTTGAATAACAGTTGTGGGAACATTCCATATAGACAGAGAAGTAGAGTAACACCTAATGAGCTACAACTAATGAGGCATAACCTTTTACCTGTTGTGTGCTCCATCAAATAGATGGACATGAAGTACAGCAGCACACTCCTGTAGTTACTCAGTACTGGCAGGTCACATCCAGATATTCATGTTGTTTGGTTCCATATTTGCAGTACTTTAAAAATATGCTTTAATCGTGTTATGTAGTTTAATCTTCTTGCACTATGTACTAAGGTTACCCAAATGTTCAGATTGATTCTGTGCATGTTTAATAAAGTTCACATGCAGCATTTATAGGTTTGTCACCTTTTTTATATAGAACAAAATAAGTACTGAAGTCCATAACCATAAGTAATACAACTAGGCACTACACTATGCAAAAAAATCAAAGCAAAAGTTAAAATCAAAAAAGAGAAGCAACAGCAAGAATAAAACCTAGGAATTTATTTAATACTTACATTTGTATACCCTTCCCCATTGGTGCCAGAGCACTACTCTGGGTGGGATACAGTAATAAACAAAACAAAACAAAAAAAACTTTAAAACCAAATAACTAACCAATAAACCAGAAGCCTATAGAACAGCAGAATGGTGGACACAAGGCAGTTAGGAGGGGCGGTGTGGAAAGCCTCCATGAAAAGCTATGTCTTCAGTTGCTTTCTGAATGTCCACAGGGAGGGGAGCAGGCAAAGCTCCTCCAGAAGCTGGTTCTACAAGCTTGGGGCCACCGTGAAGAAGACCCTACTCCTAGTAGATGACTTGCGGGCCTCCCTCTGGGTGGCCACCCTAAGGAGCCTTGCCTGTAATGGGTCGGGCGGATGACATAGGGGAAAGACAATCCAACAAGAAGCATGGTCCCAAACTATAGAAAACTGTATACATGAGTGTCAAACCCTTGAACATGATCTGGGATGCAACAGGTAACCAGTGGGGGGTGAGCCAGAACTGGGGTGATATGGTCAGACTTGCTCACAACAACCACCAGTTTGGCTGTCACATAATAGTCTCTAGATCAGCCTCAAGGGAAACCCCATGTAGAGAGAATTGCAGTAATTAATCTGGGAAATGACCAGTGCTTGCTCCAAGGTCCTGAGGGAGCTCTTGTCTATGTAGGGGGAGAGTTGGGTGACTAACCTAAGTTGGTTAAAGGAATTTAATGAGCCTCAATACTTGGCTTTAAAAAAAATATGTTGCAGCATATTCTTACCCATGTTTTTTTTTCCAAAGTGAAGCCTACTCCATAACTGGGCATAGGTTTCGTTCGTTTAGTCATTTAGTCTGCCTGGGGACCGTACTGGAATGGATGCAGGAGAATGGCCTGAGGCTGAACCCGGACAAGACGGAAGTCCTGAGGGTGGGGCCCCCCGTGGTTGGTGGCTTGGTCGACTCTCTCTTGTTTGGGGGGGCGACCCTGACTCCGGTGAGTGGGGTCCGCAGCTTGGGCATACACCTGGACCCGACGCTTACCATGGAAACACAGGTGGCGTCGGTGGTCCGCTCCGCCTTTTTCCATCTTTGGCGGATTGCCAGGCTGCGGCCCTATCTCGACACGGGGGCCCTCACTACCTTAGTGCATGCGCTTGTAATCTCAAGATTAGACCACTGCAACGCGCTCTACGTGGGGCTACCTTTGAGGTTGATACGGAAACTTCAGATGGTGCAGAATGCAGCAGCCAGACTTCTCACTGGAGGGAGAAAATACCATCACATCTCTCCCATCCTGGCTAGACTGCATTGGCTGCCCATCCGTTTCCGTATCGACTTCAAAGTTTTAATGCTTACATATAAGGCCCTATACGGTTTGGGACCTCGATATTTGGGCCCTCCTCGCAGGTGGGCGGTGCTTAGGGATGACATATGCGGCTGGTGAGGTCACTGTAGGCCTATAGGATGGTTTGATAGACACAGGGGTCCCCTGTGACCAAAGCATAGCCTCAGGATTGGTCCCTGAAGCGACGTGGTGCCGCCTCCAGCCCTACAGGCCAATAGGAAGAGGTTTGAAGGGTTTGGCTAGAAAAGGAGCAGCCGTAGGTCATGCCTTGGCATGCCCTTAGGTCACCTGGGGCTGAAATGCCACAGCAGTTGCTGAAATGCCACAGCGGTGGTTTGGGGGGGACTTCTGAGCATGCCTGCAGCTCTTTGCAGAGATTGGCGAGGCTTGGAGATGAAGGAGGACAAGGAAAACCAGCCCCCCTCCCCCCAGTTGCCCCTAAAGGCAGAAAGCCAAAAGGTACTTGAGCCCCCAAGGTTACTACTATGGGCCTGTGGGTTTTTCCAA